GGCGCTCCACCCCTGGGGGCGGAGCTGAGGCGTTGGCGCTCCACCCCAAAGGCGGGGCTGACGCCTTGACGCTCCTCCTCAAAGGCGGGGCTGAGTCATTGGAGCTCCACCCATGGAGGCGGAGCTGACGCATTGACACTCCTCCCCAAAGGCGGGGCTGACGCACTGACGCTCCTCCCCAAAGGCGGAGCCGAGGCGTTGGCGCTCCTCCCCAAAGGCGGGGCTGAGTCGTTGGAGCTCCGCCCTGGAGGCGGAGCCTAGGAGGTGACGTTCCACTTGAAGGCGGGCCGAGGCGCTGGAGCAACTCCCACCTCACGATCCGGCCAGCGCAGTCGAGGACGTCCTCTAGAAGCGGGGGCCCAGGCGCTGGAGCTCCCAGGATGGAGGCCGGGCCGACAGGGCTCCTCCTCAGGAGGCGGGGCGGAGGCCTTAGCACGCAGCACCCTGGAGGTGGGGCTAGAGAGCAGAGGCCCCTCCTCCGGGGCGGGGCGGAGGCCGCAGAGGGCGGGCTGGAGGCGGGGCAAACGGCTCCTGGCCGCCCCGCCCCTCCACCTTTCGGCGTTTGGAACCTGGCGGCTTTCTCACGCGCCGCCGGAAGTTGTCGCAGCATTTCCGGGAGCGCTGTTAAGATCCGGCCTGGGCGACCTGGCTTTAGTCCTCAGTAGGGGTGGCGGCAGCTTTGGCTCTTCAGCTCCGGGGGCGGACGGCCAGGATGCGGCGCGGGTTTCTGCTCGGTGCCCGGCGCCTGTGGGCCCGCCGCGCCCTCAGCGGCGCGCCGCCGCCCGCCGAGGAGCTCTTCGCCCGCGGCGGGCCCCTGCGGGCCTTCCTGGAGCGCCGCGCGGGCTCGGAGGCCGGCGCGCTGCACGCCGGGGGACCCCAGCTGGCGGCGGCGGCCCGGCTGCTGAGCGAGAAGGAGCGGGAGCTGCGGGACACGGAATCCCTGCTGCGCGGTAAGCCGCCTGCGCTCCCGAGCTCGGCGCTAGCGTTCCGACACCCCGCGGGCTCTCCGCAGTCCCGTAGACAGGCGGTCTGCCCGTCAGCGCTCGGACGTTCTAAGGTTCTCGGTTGCTCCCCTCCCCTCCTGGCAGCTCACAGGCTCAGGAAAGACCTGGTACTTAGGCGCTGCAGCCCGGTGACTATAGAATCCCAGGCCTGGAAATTCGAGTTCTTTGCAGATTTCCCTCGAGATTCCGCAGAATTCGAAGCTAAGTCGGAGGCCGAAGTGTCTTGTGTTCCTGAAGCCTCCAGAGACGTTTGCCAAGTAGGCCACACTTGGGAACTCCAGGCTTGATTCAGAGACCCTGTTTCACTGAAGAAAGTGGGAGGAGGGATTGAGGTTGACTGTTGACATCAACCTCCAGGCTCCATGTTCAGGTGTGCCCACACATACACAAACGTGCATACACACACACACACACACACACACACACACACACACACGAAAGTGGGAACAAATAAAAAGCAAGAACTTTTAATTTCAATATAAAAAGCAGTGGTGAAAAGCAGAAAGTAGCATTAAAATGGATCGCTAAAGGCAAGAAAGTAGTGGTTAGGTGGTGTAAGACAAGGGAGTAGAAGCAGAGGTGACCAACGTGGATAAAGAACTTGAGCAGTACATGTGGAGGAAGAGTAGAATAGGTATGGGGGATGGCAGTGGAAGAAAAACACTGTGTTAGGGTTTCTATTGCTGTGAAGAGACAACATGACCAAGGCAACTCTTATAAAGGAAAATATTTAATTGGGGCTGGCTCACTGTTTCAGGGGTTCAGTCCATTCTCTTCATGGTGGGAAGGATGGCCAAATGCAACTAACACGGTGCTGGAGGAGTTAAGAGGTCTACATCGTGATCCACAGGCAGCAAAAGGAGACTACGTGCCACACTGGGTAGAGCTTGAGCATAGGCGACCTCAAAGCCCACACCACAGTGACAAACTTCTCCAGCAAGGCCACACCCACTCCAGGCCACACCTCCTTAATAGTGCTCCTCCCAATGGGGCAAGCATTCATACACAGTAGTGCATGGGGGACATCCCTGTTCAAACCACCGTAAACATGAGATAAGAAAGAGGCCAGATAAGCAGTGTTGGTGCAGACTATGGACAGTGCCTTACATTTTAGGCAAAGAGGTGGATTATCTAGGGAACGTCCACCACTGTGACATTGGTGTGGAGGAGTCAGGAGGAAGCTGGTGACCGTCCAGAGGAGAGACAGTGGTAGTCAGGCACAGAACAAGAGACTAAGAGACAAGACATGATGAGTTATGTCATAAAAAATAGTAGGGTGGAATTATAACAAAGGGGGGCTGCTTCCGTCATCAGAATGAGTTTTGTTTTTAATCTAACATAGGGATACAAAAGATGAGTTTCACTGAAGGGGGAAAAGAGCTTTGCTGTTGAATGCATATTTAGATAATAAAAATAAAGCTATAAGGATACTGGTCCAGATTTTTCCATCTTGGACTAGAAGAACTACGGAGAAAGCTGTTGAGCCTGAATAGTCAGAGAGGTCAGGGTAGGCACTGAACGATGGAAGGATGTAGAGGCAGTAACAAGTAGAGTTCCAGAGAGAACTGGCAGACCTTTGGGACTGGGAATGAACTACCTAAATGAATCTGTGGAAACCACTTAGAAGAAACAGGAGCAAGCTCATAGCTGACTTGGAAAGGTTACACATTTTTTCAGTTGATACTGAAAAACATCTTTAAATCTGGCAGTTTTATCAACATGCATTTTAATTAAAAGTCTGATTACTGTAATCTGGAAATCCAAACATAAATTCTCATTATCAAGATTTAGTTGGGGGTTAGTTGGGGGGTTGACAACAGCAATTACTTAAAGAGTTGGAGAAAACAATACCCTCTTGAGTGGAGAACCCATTGAACTTAGGGCTGTCATGCTGCTCTAAGGAAGGTCCCGGATGTGTACTCTCACCTCCCACTGATGAAGATCATTGATAGATAAGAACACATACTTAAACTCTATGTGCACATGATGCTTCATAGAGAAAACAGTTTGTAATTCCCTTCTTTCCCAGGTTGCACATGTTCATAGAACAGAGAAACAAATGAGAAAGTATATCTAAGCCAAAAGTGAAAACTCAAATAATCATAAAACCAGAGGTGAAAGGAATATTTTGTATAACACTGGGCAGACTCCAATAAATATTTTGGGTAGGATACTTTATCCTAAGGAAATATCCACTACTTCCCACTATAGGTTTCAACTTGGTTTAACTGCTCAAATCTTCTGTGCCCGTCCTGGGCATTCTAACTAGTTAAATGCATCCATTTGGTAATGTGAAGCCCAGCTTGGTAAATTTATTGGGATTTATTGGGGCTGGAGAGAGCATAACTGTGAAGAGCATTCTTGCAGAGGCCCCAGAATTTGTTCCCAGCACCCATGTAGCAGCTCACAACTGTCTAACTCCAGTCACAGATGATCCAGCACCCCATTCTGGCTTTTGTCGGCACAACATACATATACTGCACATACATAAACAGGCAAGTGTCTATATCAAATAAGACCAGTGCAAACTTTTGAAGTTTACTTGTATGTGTATGAGTATTTTGCCTGCATGCACATGCATGCCCAGTGCCCAAAGAGATAAGAGGTGCCCCGGGACCTGAAATGATATGGAGTAACAGGTGGGTCCTGGGAACTGAACCTACATTCTCTGAAGAGTAGCAAGTGCTTTTAATTGCTGAGCCATTTCTCTAGTCCTGAAATTTTTTTCGTTTAAAGTTTGTTATTATGGCTTTTGTGGAGGTGAACTATAGAGAACAGTTCAGTCTTAATGTTTAAATTGTAGCTTTTTTCATTTAACTTTTTTATTGAAAAACCTTTTTAATAGCTCCATACTTGTAAAAACTATTGTATCAATAATTTTAATTAGTGGCAACTATGAAAAGAACAAGAAAAAATTTTCCTTTTTTCCTTCAGCTGTGGTAACTATAAACGCACAAACTTGAAATCTATTGGCAATTAACACTAGTTAAGAAAAAAAAATTAATGGCTGTTCTTTTTTCTAGATGAGAATGAAGATTTAAAGAAACTTGCAGAGAGTGAAATAGTTTTGTGTCAGAGAGAAATAACTCAGCTGAAGCATCAGGTATGTTATGTATATGTGAGTAGGTATGTTATGCCAGTAATCTTTTCACATTTCATTACAGGCTTATAAAGGAGTCCAGAAAAGTAGCCTGTTGCTATAGATAGAACTTTTTGTTGGTACTGATTTTTCTTTATATTTGTATGTATTTGTCTGCGAAGCACAAGCATGCCTGCCTGGTACTCTTTAGAGGCCAGAAGAAGGCGTCACAGCCCCTGGGAATGGAGTTACAGACAGGAGGAAGTTGCCTGATACAGGTGCTGGAAACTTAGTCATGGTTCTTAACCTTTCGGTTCTCTCCATGTCTTCAACTCCAGACTTTTTTTTTTCCTTTAACTTTTGTCTGTCTTACTGGGGTACAAACTTTCATCTATCGTAGGCATACAATGTGATGTTTTTCTTGTATGCTCATTCCATGAAGGATTTTTAAAGCAGAAAAAAGACATGCTTCTTAGCATCCAAGTTTTTCATGCTACCAGAGTTGCATAGTGTACATCTCTCACTGATAAACTCTTGTACCCATTCTTAATGGAAAGGCAAAAGGACATGGATCTGCTTTTCTGTTTTTTATTTATTTATTTTTCATTGTGTAAAGGCAGTGGATAGGAAAGATTACAGTGTAACAGTCAACGGAAGTGAACTTCAGGGGTGCCTTTATCTTAGCATTGATAGAATGCCAGTCCTAAACTTCCAAAATCAAAAGTTTTCTCTTTCATGGTAGGAAGCTAACTGACAAATGAAAGATGAGGGCCTTCCTCTTCCTTCCATACTAGGCCTTGTGTGTCAAGACGGGAGGATTTCTTCTGGGTTCTACATAAGGTGTAATGTCCTGCTCCCAGACATTTTGTTCCTAACTGCAGGCGTTGATTCAAAGCCTGTAAGAATTCCCAGAGTGGGCTGAGGGCTGTGGTTTAGGGTTAGAGTATGCCCAGCACCGTGAGACCCTGAGCTCAGTCCCTCGCAGCACCTAAATCTGGTGTGCTGGTACACACCTTTATTCTCAGCACGATGAGGGGGAAGCAGGAGCACGAAAAACACAAAAGAAAGAATTCCAAGAAGGAATAAAAACAACCCTATCAAAAGTAGCTGCATTTTATAACACTTAAAATATAACTGTAACGTTAATACCTTATTGGAAGTTAAATACTAGACAGTTTTTGTTAGCAAGATGCCCAGAATACTGAAGAGCAATATTATTTGTGTAGAGAAACTTAGGTTGCATATCTAAATTCCCTAATTTCGTAGTTCTGGGCATTGTTTTGAGGAGTTCTTAATTACGGGATGGCGTTATCTTTTATTTACAGATCATCTCACTTTTGGTTCCTTCAGAAGAAACAGATGACAGTGACTTGATCCTGGAGGTGACTGCGGGTGTGGGTGGTCAGGAAGCCATGCTTTTCACTTCTGAGATGTTTGACATGTACCAGCAGTATGCTGCATTTAAAAGATGGCATTTTGAAACGCTGGAATATTTCCCAAGTGAACTAGGTCAGTGTCTTAGTAAGGTTTCAATTGCTGTGAAAACATCACGACCAACTTGGGGAAGAAAAGGATTATTTCATCTTTCAGTTTGCAGTACCATGAAGAGAAGTCAGGGTAGGGACTCCAGGCTGGAACCTGGAGGCAGGAACCGAAACACAGGCCATGGAGGAAAGTGGCCTATTTGCCTTGCATGGCTTGCTCCCTCTGGCATGCAGAGCCTGCTTTCTTAGGCACTCCAAGACTATGTGCCGAGGGGAGCAGCACCCTCTCCCTCAGTCAGCAGGCTCTCCCACCCACATCAGTCATCAATCAAGGAAAGGCCTCACAGGCTTCCCAACAGGTCAGGGTTACAGAATTGTTTCCTAGTTGAAGCTGCTCCTTAGATTATTCTAACTAGCACAGTCAGTAATTTATGACTATTAATCAGACTGATTAATAGTCATAAAGACTTATGTACAGTATGTCCTGAGGAAAGGGTTGGCAAGATGATGATCAGAACTCATTTGTAAGGACTAAGTAGTGATATGGTTGTTATTTACCTAATGATTTTAAATAAAATCACAATTTTGAAATTTCTTGTAAAGTATGGTGGAAAGCCATGATGTGATAAGCATTTTGAGCTTTGAAAAGTAGTTTTAGGACACATTGGGCTCACGTTTGTACTCTTAGCACCCAAGAGGCTTAAGCAGGAAAATTGCGCTAAGTTCAGGACTAGCCTGGGTTACAGGAGAACCTGTCTCAAAAAGAAACCCAAAATGTGGTCTTTGAACTGGTGCTGATGTGAATTCCTCAGCACTGTACTTTAGTTAAGTGAAAATAAATAGTTATCCACTAAGGTGCTGGAGAGCTGGCTCAGCAGTTAAGAGCACTGGCTGCTCTTGCTGAGGGCTAGAGTTCGGTTCCCAGTGGGTTCATCGTGGCTCACAGCCACACATAGGTCCATTTCCCATGGATCTGATGCTGCCTTCTGACTCCTTTTGCACCTGGCACATGTACATGTGTTATATGTACATACATACGTGTACACAGTTAAAACACTCAGACATACAATTAAATACATAAATTTTAAAAATTAAGGATTATGTATTAAAATAGCAGATATCAAACTTGTGAAGTTTTATAATATGCTTGTACTCTCTACTTACAGTTATTTTGTGGCTCATTTAACTTTCTTTCATGAGAATACATGTGATGGTCAGGTGTTTATGATTGGCAGGAATGATAAAAATAACTTGATTCCTCCTATATTCTCAAGGTGGCCTTAGACATGCGTCAGCCAGCATTGGAGGTTCAGAAGCCTACAAACACATGAAATTTGAGGGAGGAGTGCACAGAGTACAAAGAGTGCCAAAGACAGAGAAGCAAAGCCGCATCCACACTAGCACCATGACGGTGGCAATTCTGCCCCAACCTGCTGAGGTAAAGTATAGAAATGGAGCTGGCACAGGGCCCTTTTCCCAGCAACTGTGTAACCTTATTACTTGGCCCTCCTTTCATATTTTGAGTTATTCTTGAAAATTTAATTAAAGAAGTCTAATTTTACAACAGGTGGTAAGAATGAAAATGTTTTTACATTGTCCAGATATACCCTGGATTTTTTCTCCTCCAGTAAAATGGGCATTGTAAGCTTCTCCCTTGAGTCAGGGAGTCTAAGCTGTTGAATGTAGACTGGCTGTGTGCCTTACTTTACATCTCCAGCTGCCATCAGTAAAGGGCTGATCACTCAGCACAGTTGCTACTTCATAACCCAGTTGTATTAGAAAGGCCTTGAGTGTGTACAGCCTTACCTCACGAAGCAAGTCCTCAGTCTAAGAAAAATCTATTTGTTAATTTCTCATCTGCTAAAAGTGACAAGTTAATTCACTTAAAGAGTGAAATATGAATGATTTGAGGGTTTCTACTTACTGATTTTAAGGTGCTCGTTAGGTGTGTGGTAGGGTCGGTGGGTTTCCTTTCTGGGTGTACTCTCTGTGAGAAGAAGGGAAGAGCGGAAGAGCTAAGAGAAGGAAGCATAGGAGAGCCACTGTCAGCAGCCTTGCTGCTCCTACACACTGTGGTCTAGGTTCTGTCTAGCTTTTCTAGCAACTGTATAGGAGTTATCTTACTGCAGAATGACTGAGGTGCCATAGAGCAGTCTCTACTTGTTCACAGAACAGACGCTTTTAAAGATGGTGCTTCTGGTGGTATCTCCTAGTGCATTACCTGGCCGCGTGGTCTTTGCCTACAGATTATGTTTATATTTTAAAAACAGTGTCTCCTCTCTTCCCCAGAACAGTTTCATGTACTCAAACTGCTATTATTTTTTTATTCCTCTGCTAAACACTTTGAAAGTAGCAAAATTCATTTTCTACTTAAAAAAAATCATATTTATGTGTGTGAATCTGTACACATGTGGCCCATGAATGCTATAAGAAGGCAAGGATCCCCTGGAGCTGAAGCTGAAGGAGGCTGGGGTCACATAATGATCAGATCCTACGGGCAGCACACACTTTTCACCACTGAGGCATTGCTCCAAGTGATCTGTTTCACAGTTCCTAATTCTCCTTATGAGACAGAAAGCTCAGTTTTTGAGGATTATGGAGTGTTGCTTTATTCCTTACTCATTTAAGAGAGAAAAACAAACCATCTAAAATAATATTCTAACTATGGTCTGTCCTTAAACCTTTTGAATTTTATGTGAATTTTATGAATGGCATGTATGTGATGTGTAGGGCTCACCTGAAGACAGCTGGTGCACACAGCTGTTTCTCAAAGTTCCGACTTTTCTTTGTATGTACAGATTAAACTGGTGATCCATCCTAAAGATTTGAGAATTGATACTAAGAGAGCAAGTGGAGCTGGCGGTCAGCATGTAAACACCACAGACAGTGCTGTGAGGATAGTGCATCTTCCTACAGGTACGTACTTCCTGTTCCAATACAAAACTTTGAATCAAGATCGACTTCTGGGGGCACTGAGTAACCCGTGAGACAGAGCCTCAGTTCCCAGAATGTACCAGTAAGGGCGCTTAAGTAGTTACTTGGCTCTACAGGCTCTGTAGGCGATGCTATACAGGGTAATCACAAAGCCAGGAAGAAAGAGGGACTACGCACAGCAGTCGCTACCTTAGTCACTATGAAGGAGAGCAGAGTCCTGCCTGTTGGGTTATGAAATATATACTTAATAGATTTTGCTAGTCCCAAAAACCTCAGTGAGACACTTACCTGAATTATTTATCAGAAAAGGTTCTACATTACTAGTTATTGGCTGTAGAGCTAAGATAGTAACAAGGACCCTGGAGGCAATAAAACACTTGGACTTCCTTCACGGAAGCATGGTGCATGGACAGTTTTAGATATAATTTCAGCAGCATTTTTCCATTGAGAGTAACAGCCAAGATAATTTGAATCTAAACGACTGGAAACATGGCTGTACACTACTAAGTGGAGCCATGTTTTAAGTATTATTAGAGTGCTGGAGTGGCTTCAGGCTTCCTTAACTAGAGCAGACACAGAATGCAACTGCCTTGGTTCCTCTTAACCAGGAGTAGCTAAGACCCCAGGACATACTTAAAAGGATATTGCCCTTTTAAATACAAAAAACCATAAAATATTGTGATAAGGGGGTTGTTGAAACAAAAATAGGGTAAGAAGAAAATACTCTGTTTACTCTATAATATGATCTGTAGCTTCTATACGCTACATTCATTTCTGTAAGTCTTTTTAAAAATTATGAGAACTGGGGCTTTGAAAACTGTATTAAAAATATTTAAAAGTCATCTGAGTGTGGTGACTCAAGCCTTTAATCCCAGCACTTCGGAGGCAGATGCAGGTGGAATCTCTGTGAGTTCGAGGCCAGCCTGGTCTACAAAGCAAGTTCCAGGACAGCAGGGCTCTTATACAAAAGAAACCCTGTCTCAAAAAATGGAAAAAAAAAAAGTTTTCTATTAGATTCTTGTTTTTATCACCTTGTAAAAGAAGAAAAAGGATGGGAAAGAAAAGGAATAACCCTTGATAATAAATATTATTATATTAAAACTCTTTAATTCTCATGACATTTATTCAGGTATTATTTCTGAATGCCAGCAAGAGAGATCTCAGCTGAAAAACAGAGAGCTGGCTATGAAAAAGTTACGTGCAAGGTTATACAGCATGCATCTGGAGGAAGAAATGACTAAAAGATACAATGCTAGAAAGATCCAGGTAAAAGTGAATTCAAGAAACATTTACATAAATAAAAATATTGGTAGTGTCGTTTTTGTTATTACTATTCTTGCATTTATTACCCGTGTATAGCTTTATTCTGCTTTCTATAGTGAAGGGTATTTTTCTCAGCTTGGTCCAAGTGGACCAAATCCTACTCAGTTTTCAGTCCTTTAAACTTACGGAAGCAAGAGTACTGGCATCCTAAGCCTACTGTTTCATATTTCATTTTATGATATACACAATCCTTCCATGACTTCTTTAGTATGTATACCTTTTCTCCACTTCAGGATGACATTAGTTCCCCAAGATTGTATATACATAAAATGTACACGTCAATATTCTGCTTCTTCTGTTTAAATATCTGCCATTTGCCAGACTCCGTCATTATGTAATCAGTATTTTGCTAATGGGAATTTAATGTTTAGCCATAAGGCATAGAGCATTGAAGGGGCAGAGGCAGGACTCAGGTACTTATATCTGACTTGAGAATCTATCTTCTCTTCTCTGTACCCCTATGTGATCTGGGAAGTCTGGGCTTTATACTTGGTTCTTGCATTGCTGAAGGTTTAAACTGTCCTGGATCTAAATACATCTCACATACCTCCCCCTCATCTTTTTTTAGGTTGGAACTAAAGGAAGATCAGAGAAAATAAGAACATACAACTTTCCACAGAACAGGGTCACAGATCACAGAATAAACAAATCACTACATGACCTTGAGAGCTTCATGAAAGGAGACTGTCTTCTGGATGACCTGATACAGTCACTGAAGGACTATGCAGACTATGAATCTCTACTAGAAATGCTTTCCAGAAAAGACAAAGCTTTATAAAGTCACTATTATTTTTTTTATTATTCCTTATATAGTCAAGTTGACAACCAGAATAACCATCATAATGGGTAACAGCTAACCAAGTCTACAGAATTAACCATTACGGTGTCCAGGAGTACTCCTAGAGGCTGTGCCATGGAAAAGGAGATATGACTGTGCTATCATGCTTCCAGTCTTATGTAAGACTGTTAGCATGTAAGAGACATGCTTATCATGCCTCTCACCACCTAGTACTGACAAGGTTCACATACAAGCAGCAAAGAAATGTAGAGATTTTAATAGTTAGAATATGTCTCCTCCAAAACCCAGGTGTTGCCACTGTGATACTGTTAAGTATGACGGCTTCACAACTAAGGTTTTAAGGGCCCCTTCTGAGTGGGGCTAATGTCTGTGAACTGTCAAACACTGCTCACTTTCAATAAGATTTTCATATATTTCCTGTCTGAAATAAATTGCAAGTATGACATTTCACTCTGACATGTATCAGCTGGCACTTAGACATATTTCTACTTAAGTATATATCTTCATCACGTGACAAAAAACAATTCATAGAAAATCCCAAATACATTTTTTAAAAAAGATTTATATGTTACCTATGCAGTGTTCTGCCTGCATGTGTCCTGCAGGCCAGAAGAGGGCACCAGATCTCATTATAGATGGTTATGAGCCACCATGTGGTTGCTGGGAATTGAACTCAAGACCTCTGAAAGAGCAACCAGTGCTCTTAACCTCTAAGCCATTTCTCCAGCCTTCCAAATACTTGTAATACCTAATAGTTAAGATTCTCTCCTTCTCTAGATATGGTAAAGCTGGCTTCTTCAAACTCAGATCCAATTTTGTATCTATCTAGTAGTTACCCTTGCAGACCCCTAATCCCAGTTGTCAAGGCACTGCACTGCATTTTCACCTATGACGATCACAGTAGATATTTTGGTACTATGCAAGCTGTTCAGACCTTAACACTGCAGCCTTGGCCGGCTTAACTACATCTTTTCTTGTGACTTAGCACTGTTAAAAAAGTAAAATAGGGAAGGTTTGACTGTTCCATGCGGCTGTTATAGGATTTAGGAACTTTAGCCAAATAATAAGGGAATTATGAGGCACTTCTCCAAGTTGTTAGAATCAACAGTAGTTTACATTTTTTAGGAACACACATAATATGCTTCTCTTCAGTATTATATATATTTAAATATACATATATATATTTAATATATAAACTTCCTTTAAAAGCCAGCTTGTAATTTGCAGTATACTTTATACTGAGGGTTTAGTGTCTCTATCTGAAAGGAAGTAGCACAAAACCATTCATGATAGGCAAGGGTTTTAAGCTATGTACAGTGTTTAGCACATAAACCAGGTCAGGTGAACAGCATACCTGCTAATCTCATGAAAGGTACTTTATTGTTAAAAATGTTTATTAATCTGATTTTTATATGGGTAGGTATTTTGATGCATTTATGTCTGTACTGTATGCCTGCAGTACCCATGGAGGCCAGGGTAGGGTGTCTGATCTGGGATTGTAGTTACAGACAGTTGTGAGTTTCCCAGAGTGCTACAAATTGGACTCAGGTTCTCTGAAAAAGCAGCCATCTCTCCAGCCCCTTACTTTACAGTTTTTGGGGTATTGTTTTATGTTGTTTTTTGTCTCCCTCCCATCCACCCCCAAAATTGTTTCTCTGTAACTGCCCTTGAACTTACTTTGTAACCAGGCCTCCTGAGTGCTGGGATTAAAGGAGTGAGTGCCCACCCTATTTTATGTTTTTATGAAGAGTTGGTAAATAGCTTTCAGTAACTCATATAACTCAAGACTGGTCATTCAACTCATTCACAGTCTCCCGTATTTTGTTATTTCCACTTCAGCATTAATATTACAACTATAGTATAACTACAATTACCTAATTTCTCCTTGATCCAAAAGAGTTATTCGAAAGCTAAAGTGAGGAATATTAAAATGCTGGATTTTACTGGGCAGTGGTGGTGCACTCCGTGGAAGCAGAGTCAGGCAGAGCTCTGAGGCTTCATAGTGAATTTCAGGACATCCAAGACTACATAGGACTCAGTCTCGAACAATCAAAACAAAATGAGAACAAGGGAAAGCTGTCACCTTTAATCTGAGAGAGAAAGGTATGAGACTTATAAATTACAGGTCAAAAAGAGCCTTAGATCAGATTTTAAACTACATGTGCATCAGGATATCAGAGCTGTTTAGAAAGGAACTGTCCAAAGTTATGTGACTGTTTCAACAATATAAGTATAAGATGTGCCAAGGGTCTGTGGGTGCAGCTGAGTACACCATGTATGCTTATTATGAGCATGTTTAAGGTCTTCAAAGGTCTTTTGCATACATTAGAAGTCTAGTATAACCACACCATGTTAGGATGCTTGGAGTAATTCACACAACCATCTTATTAGCAGCCATGGACTTACTCCCACCTGCCTACACCTAGAAACTGCTTACTCTGCAGACAGACCTCAAGGTCTCACTCAAAAGACACCTTACTCAAGAAAGAATTAATAGCACCTTTTATCTGACCCCACAACATTTCCTCATATGCTGTGGTCTGAATGTGTCCTCCCAACTCAAGACCTGGAAACTTAAACCCAATACAATGGTGTAAGTCGGACCTACACCTGGAAGTGTTCAAAGTTTTATACATGGGCTAAAAGATTCCAGGTTTGGACCTTTTTGCCCTTACCTCTGTAGTCCCCTCTCCATCCAGAAGCTGTGTTCAAGGTATCAAGCAGCTGTCACCCAAACTACTGCCTTTTCCTTCACCTTCCTAAGTTCTAGAGCTCAGGGACATTTCTACTCTAGAAGTTGCCATGATACTGCTATAAGCAGTAAAAGACAAACCAAGATAATACCTAAGAAGCAATATGTACTGCAACATGGTAAAACTGATTTCTATTCCGTGTTTGTATGTTTAATCAAGAAACGAAAAATCTAAGTTCAGAAGAGGCTGAAAATCTATAAAGTCAAAAACTAATAATGGCCTAACTGGATAATTTTTTCAACTTTATACTAAGACATTCTCATGATTCTGGGCAATGGTGAGTCTCAGCACCCCTCCACTTCATGATTATTTTATTCATAAATGACTCACAGAGACTCTTCTATTTATGAATGCAAACCACAGACAGTAAGCCCAGGGCAGGCTGCATGTCTCCGTCATCCATATACTTCTATGTCTTGCATAGACTGTCTTGCAGAAAGAGTTGGAAGGGGTGAAGGTGATTCTCTCTGCACTTCATATTTCACCTAAGAGGAGAAAAACAAAAACTCGACAGGAATTGGGATGAGAAGACTGGCATCTGGTGAAATGAAGAATATCTGTTTCTGTGTTACTAAGGAAGAAACAAACCCACAAACCTGTTAAAGCTTCACTCCAATAACGTTTCATCACAAGTAAGCTCGAATACCAAGTCAAGTTCGCGATTAATTATTTTTGTTTGCTTGTTTTTGTTTTGTTTTTTGAGATAGGGCCTCTCTGTGTACCCCTGGCTGCCCTGCTTTGTAGACCAGGCTGGCCTCAAACTCACCGAGATCCGCCTGCCTCTGCCTTCTGAGTGCTGGGACTAAAGACTTGGCTGGCTAAGTCAGTGATTAACCTGTCAAACTGAAAAGGACTGTGACAAATTACTGTAGCATATAACAAAACATGCTTCATTTTCTTCAGGAAGGGGACAGACACTGCAGACTGCTTTCAAGCGACAGTGAAGAAGCAAAGGCTGCATTCCAGGGGCTTATCACTAAGAACGCCTTCCCTTCTCAAAGTTCCAACCCTCCCTTTATGCAAATAAAAGCTGATAAGGAGTCTCCAAGGTCAAGCAGAGTAGAAACGGGAACGTGTACATCCACAGCCAAGATTCCAGCAAATACTATTCCCCAGCATAACAGAGGGACGTGCCTGAAGGTGAAAGGAACCTGGCTGGTTCTTCCCAGCCCTGGGGTGATTCAAAAATTAAGCACTCCCTTGATGAACTCTGAAACCTCGGAGAAGCCTGACTTAGACTTCTAAGGACAATCATTAAGTGAAAATAATGCTAAGACTTTAAGAATGGCAAGCTAATATTAAGCCTTTTCTTGTCAGTCCTCAGCAGTGTGATAGGTCTCCACTGCCTCTAAAACACAAATCCATTATTTACACACGATATTCCAATGGTCTGCACCTAGTGTCATTCCACACTTCTCCATTAGAGAGTATATTTCACACAGCGATCTCTCTGTTACAGCATTTTTTAAAAATTGTTTTTTGTTTTTCAAGACAGGGCTTCTTTGTGTAGCCCTGGTTTTCCTGGATGTAGCTTGTCCGCCTCCTGAGTGCTGTGATAAAAGGTTCAGTGACTGCACGGCTAGACAGCATTTTGATATTCAGCGAAGTCCACTATCCCTATGCAGCATGATCAGAATTTACAACTCCGTATGAAAATCTGCAGATACCACAAGGCCACTTTTCTCACCGCCTTGCTGGATGAGCTCAAGCATATTTTATTCAGTTTTTTGCAAGGCCAATACAATGTTCAGTTGATGGTTCAAAATCTCAATCAACTTGACCATTCTTAATCCACGTCTCTAATAACAGTTCTTTAACACACAGTTAAATATCTTATTTACTGAAAATTTTGATTGCCAAAATAGTTCTAGGACTTGTGTCTTTTCAGGCATTTTTACTTAGAGGCTTATTTCTCGGGTACAAAACAGAAAAAGCTGCCAAAATTTTGATAAGCACCAACAACCATCACTATCTTCAAGCAACATTTCAAATGTGAAAACGCCAGAAAACTCGGAATAAACGAAAGGAAGTTAGATAAGGACTAGATCGACCCAGCATGACTGGTATGACTCCAGTCGTGGCCCCCTTACACCGGAGCTGTCTTCAGCTGCACGGAACACTAACTGAAAGTCAAGTACTCTTGCGGAGAGAAAGGAAGATGGCAACTGGAGGGGACCAGCAGGTCTCGGAACGGGCGTCCTTCTGAAATTGAGTCCAGCATAATGTCACCACCTGCAAACTGGCACAAGGTGTCCAAAGCCCGGCTTCAATAGTGCCGCACTTCAGCTTGTCATCAGACTTAACAAAAGTCCACCTAGCCAGGGTCCCTCAGCTTGGCGGGAGGGAGGCCGGGGACAGGTCGGCTCCCTCTTGCGCTCAGTAGGCGAAGGTTAAGAACTCGGAAGAGCGAAAATGCAAATTAACATCCGTACGAGTTCGCGGTGGTTGAGAACCCAAAAGCGCGCGGTTGCAAGGACCAGCCCCTAGGCCGGGCCCTCTGCCTCGGGGAGGCGCAGAGCCGACAGACGCCGGGATCCCGCAGCGCGCCGTCCCGGGGGCAGAGGCGGTCCTCCGGCCGCCACCTGTCACGCCCGCCCCGCCCGGAGGGAACCGCCAGGCCTCCAGCGCGCAGGCGCCAACCCGCCAACTCCGCCGCCGCCGCCGCGCAGCGCGCACGCGCGGGGGCCGCAGGCAGGGGGCGGAGCCAATTTAGGAGGGAGCGTAGAGCGCGCCTAAATCCTAGAGAGGCGGGTCCGGAGCCAGGGGAAGGGCCTGTTGGCCGGAAGGTCTGAGCTTCGCGTGGCGGGCTTGCCCCTCACCAGACTCGCACTTAGCGAGATGGAGGAAGACTCGGACCCCGTCCGGGTCCATCACAGACCTTCAGGCAGAAGTCGGAGCTGTCCCCAGGCCGTGAGGACTCCCGGGAGGCCGGTCGGCGGGATGCTGTGGGGGAGGGTAGCGTGGCGGGTGTGCGCAGCGCCCCGCCTCCTCTGCTGGCCACGCCCACGGAGGGGCCGTGCCTACACGCTCAGCATCTCCGGGGGGCGGGGCTCGGGCCGGGGGGCGGGGCCCTGCCGCCACGGCTGGCTCCGCCCCCGCGGCCTCCTATTGGGCGAACGGGGGCGTCCTTCCACGCCGCCTGCCTATTGGCGCGCGCGTGCGGACGCCGCGCCCCATTGGCCCGCTCTGATTTGGGCACCAAATTCAAAGATTTTAAAAGTACCAGCTGGCGCCTTTTAAGAGCTCCAGCTCGGCGCCGCGGCCGGTCGCCTCTCTCCCGTGGTCGCCGCCACCTTCCCCGCCTGGCAGCCCGCGGCCCCCGGCATGAGCCGGCGCGCCCGCAGCCGTCTGCCCCGGCCGTGCTCCTGTCCCTGCGGCCTCGGCGCGCGGACCCCCGCGGACGGTGAGTAGGGCGCGGGCGGGCGGGCGCTCGGGGACCCCGCTCTGCCGCAGCCCCGGAGGCGGGGAGCGTGCACCCCGCGGGGCTCGGGCTGGGGGCGGCGTGGGGGCAGGGTCGCCGGGGCGGCGGGACGGCTGCGCTCCCCGGGCCCCGCAGCGGGGACGCGCGGGTGGCGGGCTCCGCGCCGGCCGCCCCAGCCCTGCATGGGCGCCAAACGCCCCGTCCCCTCCCCCACCTGTGCGGGCGGTGACGGGGCTGGGGGACCCCGGGGTCCCCGGGCCTGGTCTCCAGCCCCCCACCCACCCCCTCTTTGCAGCGTTTGGCCACCTCGCGTTCCAAACTCAGTGTCCCCAGGTCCGCTCGCCCGGCGTCCCGGCCGCAGAGCGCGGGAGATTGCGCTCGCTCGCGCTTATCTCCCGCCCTCGTGCACCGCGCCCTCGGGGCACCTTCCAGCCCCGACCCCCTCAGCGCCTCCAGGGGCTTCTCTCCGGCTCCCGCCAAATGTAGAGACCACCCCCTCGGCCCACCGACCCGAGCGCAGACGAAAAAGATCGATTTTTTTGCCTCTTCTCAGTCTCAAGTCCGGGAGTGTGCAGGGGAGGGATTTTTTTTTTTTTTAAATACACCAAAAAAAAGAAAAGAAAAACCAAAAACCCAGAACATGAATTTGTAGTGTTTAGGGCTTTATTTTTTTCCCATCTATATTGAAAAATTAATGGTCACTTGTTCCAGAGCTTGGATGAGAACGGAGTAAATTCAGTTGCAGTTTTTTAAATTATTTTTTTATCTTTCTTGGCTTCTCAATGAAAGACAGATGCATCGATTATACCTTAGAAAATTTCGAACTGAAGGAAAAAAGCAATCTTATATATAATTTTGGTGATCTTCATCAGAAAGGAATTAGGTCTTGAGGGGAAGAAACTACTTGCTTAGCAGATTGTGTTTGCTGTAAGAAGTCGGAAATGTAATGGTTTTACGATGGGATTCTTTTGCTCAACTTTCCTCCTCAGGAAATTCTTGCTGCGTCCGAGTCCCCTCCCCCACTTGGTTTACAGCCTTGAAATATTTAAAAAAAATTTAATTAGTGCATTTAAATATTTTTGAAAGTAGGCTCAAAGGTTTTCTCTTGAATTCTACTTTCAGTTAGTCACCTTTCCTCACTCTCAAGCAAAGAAGTGATGGAGTTTGATCTTGGCCACATGGTTGGGGGTCTGAGACAGAAACTTAGTTAACATGCGGAAGAGCTAAAAAGACTGAACGCCAACTTCAATTACACTATTTAATATGGAATGTAAAGCCTATTGTACACCTTAAATGAAAGGTCACACTTGGCACACTTTAGCACTATCAAAGCTTCCCTCACCCTCTCGATTGGACTGGGGGAGGGTAATATGTGTGCTAAACATTGAGATATTTGAGTTTGATCTGTAGCTTCATTTTAAAGGAACCTCCCCGCAATCCTTATAGAATACGCTGAGCAGGAAGATCAGAGATTTTTTTTTTTTTCATTTGAACTTTGGCTTTTTAAATGTGCTCATGTGGAATTTATCTTGATTTGCAGTGTAAGAGATGTGAGCGAGTGAGTTTGCCTTACTGTGAATAGCATAGGTTTGTTGGTTAGATCCTTCACTTAGTGCAGTTTTGTTTTCTTCTCCATTTTGTGGATGGGAAGACTGAGGTTATGTGAATTTTCTTTCTGTCATTTTATCTCAGTTTAGTAAATGGTGCTATTTATATGTTAACTGCTGGAGCCTTAAACCGCAGAAGACTGTTGCTGTACTCATCAGTACACGCCCTGTGCTTCTACTGCAGTCACACACCCTGGTTCCCACAGTGCTCTTCTGAACCCTGCTAACCACGATTCCCCGCAGTCTACCGTTGCCAGGGACCCCTTTTCAAATTTCAGGCCAAATTTCTTTGTTTAAAAACCACAAAAGCCCAGCTTTAAAAGATCACCCCTAATACCCGTAATTTGTCATTAAGTGGGCATCAGATGAACGAAATGGCAGAACTAGGCATGTGCCCCACATTTGTTTGATTTGGTGGGTATGGAATTAGGTAATGGGTGATGAATTACCTGAACAGAATACAGAGTGTTTCTTACTGTTTAGGAGCACTTACCTTGATCTTTACAAAGTTCTTGACCCAAGAACTTTATCTTCTGGTACTTTAATCAAAAACAAAAACCAGAGAATCCCATAGTCTGGAAAAGGATTGTTTGTTGGTTTGTTTGTTTTTGTTTTTAATGTTTAAAAAACAAAATGATGCCAACATGTGAAATGCAGTCCCAAGCCAACTGGAAAAGCTCATGAGAGCCAAAGGTAAGCATTGTAAATGATGGGCAAAGAGCATTTTACCTGTGCTGGGTTTGATGCCAGAGTTCCTGCTCTTTTTTGCAAGTCCTCTGTCTCAAACAAATGAGGAAATGCACTACACCAGTCTCAGTTCAGAGCCACTGACCAACGAGTAATAAAGTTGACAGCCAGGGCTGAAGGTAAATGTGCGTTCCCTCCATCTTGCTGCCTGTGCCCAATCACCAGAACCCATGGCAGGGCAGACAAAACCAACTTCATAATTGTCCTGTGACGGCCTGTGCATCATGACACATGCATGCCCGTGCAGAATAATAGAATGGAGCAGGGGACTTAGTTCAAAGGAAGCCTATGAAAGTGATAGCTAGGGGGGATGTGGCATCTTGGGACAGGTGAAAGCCCCTGAAGAACCATGTCTTAGGGGTCTTAGTCAATAGCTGGAAATATTGTTGATTGGGACATGCACACTGTGCTAATGAATGGTGTCCCTTTGTAGTGCTGGGTATGTGAGGGCTGTAAAGACCCTGGCTTTAGCTCCCAGCAAGCAGTAGGAAAACATTAGAACAAAAGTGATTTTTATTCTGTTTCTTATGTTCTTTTTATAGGTTGTAAAGAAGAAAGCCCTGTTCTTTCTGTTAAGATGAAGTGTTTTAATTGCAACCCTGATCTTTCTGAACTTGAAGTGGTGGAACCCGAGGACAGTAGGAGACAAGGTTCCTTCAGCCCTGCGCGTCTGGGGTCTTCCTGTAAGGATTGTGTTAGAAATCATGAAAGGCTGTCTTTGATTGAGTCACCAATTGAGGGACATGATAACAAGGAAAATAAGCGTGTACAGAAAATACTCAACAGTCCAAATGAACTAGAAGAGCTAGAGGGCAGCAGACTGTATGAAGACAGTGGTTATTCATCATTCACACACCAAGGTGAGCATGAGGATGACATCCTTCTGGAGAATCTCAGAAACAGTCCCCAGCCTCGCCTGCTGCCATCACAAAGCCCAGACCAGTATCCCAACAAAAACTTGCTGCCCGTCCTGCATTTTGAAAGAGTGGTTTGCTCAACTCTGAAAAAGAATGGCAAGCGGAACCCTAAAGTGGATCGAGAAATGCTCAAGGAAGTTATCTCCAGTGGAAACTTCAGGCTACAAAATATAATTGGCAAGAAAATGGGGCTGGAACACCTCGACATCCTTACTGAGCTCTCCCGGAGGGGGTTTAAACACCTGCTAGCTAATATTCTGACGAAGCTCAGTGACATGGACCTAATAAAGTGAGTGTGAGAGCAGCACGGTGCACCTGTAGCATAGGACCTGCTGTGAGTCAGTACAGGCTTGTGTTTGACAGGTAGCATTTAAAATGCATCTGTTCTGGTCACTTTGAAGTTCACAGTCTATTGCTAGTAGAAGGACATACTCTCTACTGAATCAGCTGGCTAGCTGAAACGGACAGGTGGACATGTTGGTTTCTGTAATCAGCACTGTGAGGTGTGCTGTGTCAGTTAATGTAACGGGTTTTTCAGAGTCCTTTACAAATAATCTAGTGTCCTTCTGTCAAATAACTGAGGTGGAGCTTTACACATTTACTGGTATGAAATTGGTTAACTAGATAGATTACTCAAAGGAAAAAAAAGTGGGAGCTTTAAAAAAAAAACCTTAAAATTTTTGGATGTTTGGTAGCCTGGTTTAAACACTAATAAGTAGACTTTGTCATTGTTCAATCTTACTCTGCTCCAACTGTTAGGTGGGTTGGCGTAGCTTGTAGCTGCTCCTGGTCTCCACTATACTTAGCGTTTTTGCCCCCTTTGCTTTTTAGCTTGTCTAAAGTGAGCAGAATTTGGAAGAAGATACTAGAAAACGATAAAGGAGCATTCCAGCTATACAGCAAAGCCGTACAAAGAGTCCTTGTAAGTCTTCATATGTGTTATTAAATGAATTTGCTCGTTTGCATTTAGAAGTAGAGACAGATGTTTGTGTCTTTAATTCATAAAGCACTTCAGCCTCCCAGGGGCTGGAGAGAACGAGAGGACAGTGTGCAGGCCTTCTACAGAACTCATTAATGAAACCAAGTTTAAGAAATTCTGCTTTGTCGACTTGGAAACACTGCATTGTGGACTGATTTAAAAATAAGGGTTGTAAAATTGGTGGCATGTGTTAACTTTGTCAGTTACAAGAAAAATAGTGAATTATCAGCATACTGAAGATTCTTACTGTACAGAGGAGTTGTCTTTAGTCTTCCCAATGTTGTGACCTCAACCATGAAATTATCCCTTTTCCCACTTCATTGCTAATTTTGCTACAGTTACGAATTGTAATGTAAAAAAAAAAGCTAGTATGCAGGATATCTGATTAACTCCTGTGAAAGGGTTGTTTGACCCCCATAGGGTTGAGAACTGGTATTTCTGACAATTTGATGAGTACATGATTGAAAATTTAGGCCTTAGATTTATTGGTGATGGAAATGTCCTTCAAATGTGCCCCTAAGATAGGGTGGTGGCATGTGTCGCCAATCCTGGAATGTTGAAGGCTTGAAGTTTGAGGGCAGCCTGAGCTACATCTTGAAGCTTCTTCTCAAGCTTAAATAAGTGGGTGTGGCAGCTCACTCCTTAATCCCAGGACTCAGGAACGCAGAGGCAGGCAGGTCGATGTGTGTTGAGGCCAGCCTTGTCTACAAAGTGAGTCCAAGATAGCCAGGGCTACACAGAGAAACCCTGTCGCAAAAACCCTAAAATAAATGCATGTTTGGTAACTGACTACTGCCATCTGCTGGTAGTGGGAAGAATTGCCATGTGTTCTGTGGGCAGGACTTTCTTAGTTTCTAGTCCACACTTTCAGTGAGTTCGAGTTGGAATGTTTCTGTGTGTGACTGTGCAGAGGTTGTATTTCAGCCTCTGCATGGGATGCTTTTGCCACCGCAAATGAGTGCAGAAAGGAATTTAGCATCTCCTGTTAACCTTTCAACCAGGAAAGCAGTAAGTTGTCACTTCACACTTCAACCAGAGGGTACGCTGTGGGCAGAGCCGCGCTAACTTCTGTTCAGAAGGCGTCAGCCTGGGCGCCTCCCAGGAAAGATGCTCAAGCCAGGCCCCCCAGCCAGCGAGGTCAGAAGGGTCCTGCCTACAGCCGGCACAGCGAGTTCATCGAGGTAACTGTCTGGGTAACTTATCATATGTTAAGGGCACTCCCTGTTGAAGGGAGCTGAAGTAAGAGGGAGGGTTTCAGAATGCAGGGTGGCACTACGTGGCATCTAGTCTGCTAATAAATGCAGCCACATAATGAGGTTTGGCTCTGTATAGCAAGAAGCACTGAGGCAGTTATTAGAGGTCACATCTGATTCTTTGGTCTGATCTCAAACTGTCCTGTTCTCCGCTTTATAGTTGCTACTGTGTAAGAGCAGCTGGGCAAAAGGTTTACCTTCCAGAAGGCTTCCTGACCCTCTGCACTCTGATTTTTTTGTATACTAAAATGTTTATGTAGTGGAGGTGTGGCTGCTCTTCCTGGTGGTAACACATTAATTCAGTCCACTAAAATACATGTGGGTTTTTTCTTCTAGGTGGCAAAGACATTGAAAAACAACGAAAGCCTCAAAGCCTGTATTCGCTGTAATTTCCCTGCAAAATACGACCACTATTTAGAGCGAGCGATCTGCAAACGGGAAAGCTGTAAATTCGAATACTGTACAAAGTGTCTGTGTGATTACCATAACAACAAAGACTGTTTGAACGGCAAGCTTCTCAAAGCCAGCTGTAAAATGGGCCCTTTGCCCGGAAGTAAAAAGAGTAAAAAGAATTTACAAAGATTGTGACCTTTTAGTATATCGAGTGTAGAGCCTAAGGGCTGCTCTTTTTAAAAAAAAAAAAAAAAGGTTAAATTTTAACTTAAGAAAGTAAAAATAACTATGATGCCTTTTTGCCCCTTTGAATAGAGGACATACACCTCTTAAAATAATTACAGTATAATGTTTAAATAAATTAAAATTGTCCATACAAATACCAAGATTGACTTATTTTAAGGAAAAGAGAAAATGGATATCTATTTGTAATTAGGTGCTAAGATAAAATTGATGGAATTTTTTTCTTAAGGGAAGGCTGTGATTTTTATGGAATCTTGAAAAAAGATATAACTCACCGTGTTAGGATCTGAGATATGCTTTACCAAATATGTATTGTGCTCATATCAATTTGAGCCTGTCTGTCGGTTTTAAATGTTTGTCGTTATCAGTGTGAGCCTTTTTCACTGTGGAAACTATCCTTTGTAAAGTCCTGTTTACTGTATTTCTGAAGTCTCTTAATGTTTTTATACCTGTAAATATTTGTTTTTACGTGCCAAAGAAAATAAATAAACAAATTTTGTTACAAAAAAATTGCTATAAGCTTAGTGTGTGTGTGGTTTGTGTGAACACATTATTCCTGGAAACAGGTGCCTTAGGGTGATGGAGATTGGTCCTGTCCTAGGGGCCTTGACACAATTTTTCCAGTAGCTTATCTAGGAATTCATATGAACGTGTAGTTAAGTAATTTTTAGATGATGCTGCAACTCCTTAAAACATTGGGACATTAAGTGTCAGTTCACCAAGAAGTGAGTGGACAGTTACTTGATTTTTCTAATTTTCATTTGTTTGCCCATTAGAGCTCTAGATAACCTGTAGTGCTGGTTTAGTCTTGTCTTGACTTATGCTTATGAGAAATGTATCCCTAAAGAATAACTTGATTACATCTTAGTGAGTAGGTTACTTAATTTCAGGATATTCCTTGGTTTTTCAAGATAGGGTTTCTCTATGTAGCCTTGGCTATCCTGGAACTCAGATCTCCCTGCCTCTGCCTCCCAAGGGCTGAGATTAAAGGCCTGCTCCATCCCACCACTGCCCAGTTCTTAGAGAACATGGCCACCTTGGTGACAAGGGCTGGGCTGTCCCCATCAATAAGAAAATGCCCTGCAGGCTTGCCTACAGCCCAATCTTAGTCATTTTCTTGACTGGGTTTCCCCCCTCAGATGATTCTAGTTTACATCAAGTTGACAAAATTAACCAGCACAGAGGGACCTTCTGATTTTTCTTTTTATCTGATTTGTTGAGTGAGTTTCATGGATTTCTGGGTTGTTTTGTTGCTGTTTGTTTCTTAAATCAGAATCTTTTCCACACAAGTCTTGATTTGCCATTTTATTTTGATCCTTTTTTAAGTTTATTGGTCAGTTTTAAAACTCAGCTGAAATCATTTGCTCCATATTTAAACCTTTTTGATAGCTCTTCCTGAGCTTTGTAAGTCATGCTGCCTCCTGTTTCTTCTGCTTGGCATGTATATTGTGATGGAGACCTTGTCTAGTTTGTGTCTGGGGTGGGGGGAGGATGTCTCTTATTAGACAGCAGCCTTCTGAGAGGTTACTATTAGTACCTCAAAAGAAATCAAGTAGCCTTTAATCCCAACACTCAGGAAGGCAGAGGCAGGTGGATCACTGGGAGTTGGAGGTCATCGTGGTCTACAGAGTGAGTCCAGGACAGGCAAGGCTACACAGAGAAACCCTGTCTTGAAAAACAACAAGAAAAAAAGGAAGCAGTAAACAAGTCACGGGGTGGTGACAGCACCCCTTTTCCCCTAGGCACACATGCTCAGCCAAGGGTACACATCCCGTATGGCTTTCCCACTCCCCTTAAATGCCTTTTCTGTTTCTCTAAGCTTAACTCCCCCGTCGCTTCTTTCTTGGTTTCTAAATACACTTTTCTCCCCTTGGGATAGTGTCTCCCCTTTGTTACCAAAACTTTTACGCGGTACATTTAGTCTTTGAAGAAAATGTCAATATGTCTACGTGGCTGTGCTGCTCGGTTTTGTTGTTGTTGGTGTGTGTGTGTGTGTTTAAATTGACACACGTTAAGATCACTTGGGAAGAGGCAAACCCTCAGCTGAGAAAATGCCTCTGCAAGACGTCAGTAGACAAAGCTGTGGAGCATTTTCTTGATTAATGATTGATGTGGGAAGACCCTGCCCACAGTCCCTGGTGCCACCCTATGGGGTGTATGGGAAAGCATGCTGAGCAAGACACAGCAAACCAGTACTTCCTGCTCCTGCAGTCTCTGCTTCCGTTCCTGCAGGCAGCTCTCACCTTCTGTCTTGCCCTGACTTCCCTTTGTGATGGACTGTAACTGTAAACCGTAAGCTGAAACAAACCCTCTCCTCCCCAAATCACTTCTGGTTTGCAGTGTTTTATCACAGATTGGAAAGTAACTTTTTAAGGACTTATCAAGATAATTCCCAAATTGGCACCCCTTCCTCAAGAAACGTATGAGAGTTTCATTTATTTTAAATTCTTGTCAACAATACAATCTAGTTTTTGCCACTGTGCTGGCCAGGCAGTAGTAGTACCTTCCTATAGCTTTCATTTATATCCTAATGACAGATGCTGAGCATCTTTTCCTGTTACTTGGCTTCGTACATTTTCTTTGGTGAAGTGTGACTTTAAATGGTTTGTCTGTGTTGTTTTGCTTTCTTACTGATGTTTAAGGGTATACTCCTGATCAGGCGCTTTCTTCACCTGTGTCCTGTCTTTCAGTTAGCACCTTAAAAGAAACATCTTGTTTTTTTTATCATTCCAAATGATTTCCCTTCTCGAGATTATGTTTTTCATGTTGTATCAAAGAAATTTGTCTAGTTCACACACGCAACGATTTTCTTCTATGTTCACTTTTAGAAGTGTTACATCTTAAATGATCACATACATTAATTTGAGTGGGGAAAAGTATGCTGTGGGGCGTGCACATGCAGGTCAGAAGACAACTTGTGGAAGCTGGTTCTCTCCTTGTATCATGTGGGTCTGAGGGACTGACCTCAGGTCATTAGGCTTGGTGACAAGCGTATTTGCCTCCTGAGCCATCTTGCCAGCCCAGCTGCACTCTTTATAATTTCATATTTAGAGTCTTTGGTTAGTTTGCAGTTTACAGGATAACGGGAGGGTGTACTGAAGTGGGCACACACTTGTCCAAGCGCCATTTGTTGGCATGTAGCCTTTATCTGCTGAAACGCCTCCTGCACGCCATCATACCACCCTGAGGAGTTTTATAATCTAACATTGGCATTTAATATTTTTAGTATTTCTTGAACATTTTCCAAGTCCTGTCAGCTATTTTGTATTTCAACATAAACTTTATAATCAGTGCACACTAGCATTGACTGGGATTTCAGGGACCATATCAATATGCCAAGTACTAACATCTCAACAGCCTTGCTTTCCAGCCCTGAGCATGGTGGTTTGTCTGATGTACACTATTAGCTACACTATCTTTTCATTGTATATGTTTACTACATATTTCATGTACTCATCCTTAAGTGTATCCCTAAACTCCATAGGTTACACATTGTAAACACATCACGTTTCAGTTTTCAGCTGTCTGTTGCTAAATATCAAAGTGAAATATATTTATCTTTTATCTGGCAACCTTACTAAGTGCAGAGAATTATAACAGAATGTCTAGTAAATTTGTATTAAGCAAATAAACACAATTTTATTTCTTTTTAATTAAATTTTTATTTTTTATATTACTTACAGTTTATTCACTTTGTTGCCCCCTCCCTCATCCCTTCCTAATCCCATCCTCCCTTCCTCATCTCCTCCCATGCCTCTCTCCAAGTCCACTGATAGGGGAGGTCCTCCTCCCCTTCCCTCTGACCCTAGTCTATCAGGTATCATCAGGACTGGCTACATTGTCTTCCTCTGTGGCCTGGTAAGGCTGCTCCCCTCTCAGGGGGAGGTGATCAAAGATCCAGACACTGAGTTCATGTCAGAGACAGTCCCTGTTCCCCTTACTAGAGAACCCACTTGGACACTGAGCTGCCATGGGCTACATCTATGCAGGGGTTCTAGGTTATCTCCACGAATGGTCCTTGGTTGGAGTATCAGTCTCAGAAAAGACCCCTGTGCCCAGATTTTTTGGTTCTATTGCTCTCCTTGTGGAGCTCCTGTCCTCTCCAGGTCTTACTATCTCCCCCTTCTTTTCTAAGGTTCCCTGCACTCTGCCCAAAGTTTGGCTATGAGCCTCAGCATCTGCTTTGATACACTGCTGGGTATTTACACAATTTTATTTCTTAATCCAGTCTAAAGATCTGTCTTTTCTTTCTTAATTGTGTGTGTGTGTGTGTGTGTGTGTGTGTGTGTGTGTGTGTGTGGCGCATCTTATAGACCAAAGCCTGCAGTTCAACAAAATGATGGTGTTTTTGTCATGTCCCAGATATTAAGGTAAACATTAAGAACAATGTCAGCTGTCATTTTCTTTCTTGAGTTGCCTTCATTTACTTGACAATGCTCCTGTGTTGGCTTTTATTAATATTTTTCACTTGCCAATGTGGTCATATTGGGTATGGGGAGGGGAGAAGTGTGACTAACATAAATTACCTTGATTTTCTAGTGTTAAAACAGCCTCCCATTCCTTGGTTTAACTCCATATGGTCATTATATCTTTTCTTTATATTATTGGATTATACATGTGTACATGAGTGTGTGTGTGTGTGTTAAGAAGTCCTGGATTTGTGCACATAAGAAATATTGGTCTGGGGGTTGGAGAGATGGCTCAGTGGTTAAGAGCACTGTCTGCTCTTCCAGAAGACCTGGGTTCAATTCCCAGCAACCACACGGTGGCTCACAATTATCTATACCAGAATGTGATGCCCTCTTCTGGCCTGCAGGTGTCCACGCAGATAGGCCATTCATATACAATAAATAAATAAATGAATCTTTTTTAAAAAAAGGAATATTGCTCTGCAACTTTTTACGGTGTCTGAGCTACACTGCCCCTGCTCCCTTTTCAGTTTTCCTGAACATTTGTGTAGAACTGGAATGCTCTCTCCCTTTGTTGTTATCTAGACATCAGCAAGAGAGCAGCCTGGAACCGGAGTTTCCATGTGTGTTTTTAAATAGACACAAGGCTCTTCAGGTTTTCCATTTTTATCGTTCCCCTTCATTCTGCCAGAGCGTGAGGTGACTGAGTAGTCTGAGCGGCTCAGATAACGTCAGCCGCAGGGCTGCCTACTTCAAATAGTCAAAGGCTGTCTTCACCAACTCCCCGCACCAACGCCCCGGTTCAGAGTGCTAAGGTACCACAAGATGAGTGTTTCCAGGATTCTGCTTGAGAAGCTTGCCTTGCCTTTTCACACAACTCGAGGGCCTGCTGTAAACGTTAAATATATCATAGACAGGTCGCTTCTCTGCTGAAGCAGCCGAGAGTCCTGCCCTGACTGTAAGGCATTGTTCCTTTTCTTCAAATACTACTTCAACGGTTTGAATGGCTCACCACGAGGTGGCGCTCATTCAACACGTCCTTTTGCGTGGTCGTTCCTGTTACT